AAAGATTATGGAGAAATGATGATAGAAGGATTCAAAGCAATTTAGTGCAATGCCCTTAGAAATAACAAAAGCACTTTTGGGCTTTGATTATAGCAGAATGCAGTATTTCAGCTCAGAAAAGCAGCTTGTCACTGAAGCTTCTTAAATCTGGCTCATCCTTTTCTGTAACTGTAGAATGTAATTTTCTTGTAATGTGAGGGTAGTTCATGCAGGACCCTATGATTATCTCATGAAACAAAATCTAGTTTCCTAACCTATGTGAGTCTTTGAGAAGGCTGGCAGGTTGAAGTTCCTTTCTCCCACACCTGTCTCCATCAAATATAAATCAGATCTGTTGTCTATATAATTATACTATATACTACATATTCCATAAATGATATGCAATATGTAATATATAATATAACATAGTGATAGAGTCTTGTATGCAGCAATCTCGCCTTCTAGTGAGGCCTAAATAAAATATTTAGAACTTTTGTTAATTAAATTCTGTGGAATTTGTGGTGTTTTGTTTTGTTTTTTTTAAACCGCAAAATGCTTGCTTTTAAGGCTGTAATTTATAACTCATCATGTTCTACTCATATTAAGTAACTTTTATTTATAGATGTGTATGCGCTTCTTGGTTTGAGCATAGTTATGGCATCAAGTGACTTTGTGAGTTTGTTATTTTAAATGCCACTGAACTTGTATAGGCGTATAGAGATTACCTTGAAGAAAAAGAGCAGTGACCATTAGTAAAACATGAATTTAGGCCAGGAAAAAAAGAAACATGTGAGGGGGGGGAAAGGTCTCAGGATTGCTCCACGTTCACTCTTTTTGGGGTACGGTGAGAGAAAGGAAAGAGAAAACACTGCCACACATTCAAAATTATTTCATTACAGTCTACATCAACAGGGTTCCTATATATCTTGCGGGGTCTGCATCCTGACCTGGCCTACTGTGAAGGGCTGAGAAAACTTTAGATTGCTTCACATGTTCTTTCCCATAAAGTCACTTCCCTCTTAGAGAGGGATTTATTTTATCTACAGTCTTTAGTAGGAGAGAAGCACAACTCTTTAGATTATGGGACTACATAATTCATATTGTACCAATGAGTTCTGATGGAAGTTATTAGTCCAAAACTTTAGTATCAATTTTTCTCCTTCTCTTTCACCATGCTCTTCTGTTCCCCTCTCATAATTCCAACTCTTTTAAACAGACAAGATGGCAGTTATGTTCTGGTGATCTAGCTACTGCAATTATTTTCTGTTTATATGGCTTCATCACAATTCTGATAACCTTTTTCAGAATAACACTGAATGTCTAAAACTGGGCTTGTTGGTCAAACTATAGAACCGAAAACTGGGAAGCTGAAGGAGACATTATAGTATTCTGCTATGCCACTGTAACACAATAGATAACTCTGGAGTCTTCCCCACACTGGGCCATTTTTCTAAAGTAACATTCGATAAATAAAGGACTATAACATGAACAATTAATTATTGAAAGCATCCACCCTTCTAGATTCATTGAAGGCTTTAAAAAGCTGGCTTTTTCCCCAAGCATTGGGATTGAGTGAGACAAAGTGATTATTGCTGGGGAGTGCTGCTTTAGGGTACTGGGCACTGTTTTGGGGTCTTTTTATAAATAACTTATTTTTATTGCTGCTATAAGCTGCCCGAAGTTATAATATATAAGACGGATGGCTATATAAGTCACCTAAATAAATAACTCAAAGAAGTAGGAAAAATGTCATGAAACAGGTTTTGGCTATATGTTTATACTACTAGAGGAAAGGTCACACGTTTTAGACTTTTATTTCAGTTGCAAATCTTTACGCCACAATGAAATAAAGCAGCCTGGACCTGAGAGGGGATCATGACCTGAATCCACAAGATTTTCATCTACAGTATATTATATTTTGCTGATGGCCACAAACTCTTGGATGGTAGTTTGCAGAACCGAACAGATTTACAGTAGAAACGAAAGACTCCTTTGAAATAAGATGGCGGGGCTATTGTGTTTATAGGCAAAATTCTTTGAGAGAAATATATTTTGGCCCTTATTAAACCTTACACAGTTTTTACAATACAGGAGCTGGTTTATGGAACTGTGTGAGGCTGAGAAGGATGCAGAGCAGACCAAACCGGTGAGAGTACACATAAGAAAGCTGGCTAAAAAAATAGGAAGCAATGGATAAGGCGAAGAAAAAGGAAAAAGGCAACAAACGGAGGGAATGAAAGAGTTGGGCTGGGTCTAGAGAAGCTCAATGAGTGACTTGAGCTGGTCTCTCTCAGTCCAGCCTTGCAGGATTGCTGTCATGAGGAAAAATTGAAAAAGGAAGTACTGTTCATGCTGCCTTGAGCTCCTGGAGGTGGGATGCAAAATAAATAAACCAATAAAATAGCCTACGAGAGGGAAATTCAAGAGGGCCAAAGATTGTACAGAAACACACACACAGTAGAGTATCTACAGTATCTATACAGTATGTATGTACTGTATGTACGTGTGTGTATACACACATACATACACACACACACACAGAGTATATATATACAGTACCCCCCCCCTCTGCTTTCAGTGCACCACTATAGTGCTGATTACAGGAGCCTTCCCCTACCTAGTGTCTTCCAGACATGATAGACTAAATTTCCTTTCTCCCTACCATGTTGCTTCAGCCTTTTCTAAATGCAGATGGAATGATAGACATTTTGAAGAATCAGTGATACTGTTCCATTCTTTTTTTATCAAGCAATCTGTGTTCCAGCTTTCCAGTAGAAAGAGGATTGATTTCAGGCTGCTTCCTATAAAGGAAAATAAATGGTCAATCCAATTTTCAAAATGTCCCTTCTTCTTGGTGGGCTTGCATTATGCCCTTGCAATCGTCAACTGGTGAATTTGATTCAACAACTTGAATCATTCACAAGAGCAGAACTAAGAACTTGAAATGCCATTGATGTGGCACTCATCGTGTTTCAGTCTGCTGAGAGTTGAGCTGAAACTGTTTGAACACACGTGCCGATTTAATGATCTGACAAACTAGACCACAGCTTCTGGAGATATGTTGGTTGGCTGGCTACTATTTTATCCTTTGTACTTCATTTAAACTTCAGTACTTGGGTTATGCAAATAATTGTTTCAAAGCCATTCCCTTGGCCCAAGGGAACTTGTTTCTTTTCAGAAAAAGAATTATTTGTACTTCAATTAGCAAAACACACTGAATTCCTTGACCGTGCTGGCCCCAATCCAGTGAAATATACACACGCCAGATCCAGTGTTGAACTAAGATCTTTCGTTTTCGTTTTAAGCCACAGTGATTCTCAATCTCCCACATATTCTATGCTACAAGCTTCATTTAAAAACCAGACAGTTTAAGTCAACATATTGCGTGACAAGAAATGCATGAGCTGATACCAAGATCCTTTGGTTCTGCATGTGTGGCTGCTGTTTAGAGATTTTACAAAAATGTCTTAGTAAGTTTCACACATAATATGCCAGAAAATGGTTTGTTTATGAACTATTATAGTTAGTAAATGCCAGTAAACGAACCATGGTTTTGAAACTAATGTGTTGCACTCATTAATTATGTGCAAACAGGGATGCATGGTCCATGGTTTCTTGGCTTATTCCAAGTATATTTTTATGTTCTGTCCATGCTTCTGAACAAATTCACTGAGGGGTAAGGCAGAGGTTGATTAAAAAGCAGGAAAAAATGAAACTAGGAATTGGCTAAACAAACCTAATTACATTCTTGCTCAAATGTATTTAAGTTTCATACATATTGTCATGGTTCTGACAGATGAAACTCTTCAAAGAACTTTGAGGTATTGTTTACCTTAAAGAATCTTTATTTGAGAAGCATAACATCGGCACTAACATAATTGAAGCCAAAAACTGAATCCCCCCCCCTTGAGCACATAGTATCAAAGCACAATTCCCTCCTCCAATTAACAGTTATAAATCACATTCCCCAATTAAATCGCAGGCTTTCCCTCCAGCTCTCCAGCCCAATTCTTATCATCTCTTATTTCAACAACCTTGATTCTCACACTAGGTTCAGTATTATTATGTCTAGCTGAACTCTCGTGCACATCCCCCCTTCCCCAGCATCATCTAACTCTAAAAGCGAAAAGAAAATGGCTACATCTACATTGTCAAAGCAAAACATCCGATGTTAGCAGCGTTGACACATATTGTACCTGTTGTTTTTATTGGTTTGTAAAAGATTTTGTGATGTGCAGCATCCACAGAAGCAGACATTTTATGCATACTCGTTTTGATGTCTGCCAAGATGCTCTTTCAAAATTCCCTCAGCTCAAAGACAGCAACCCCCATCGTACTATGCCATAATGATTTTGAGCTTGACTTTTTATTATTAAAAACTGACCAATAGTTATAGAGCACCGCAAAGCCTGTACAGTACGTTAAGGGGCTGAACTGGGGCATTGGGACAATCAGTGTCTCTTGGTCCAACCTAACTCACAGAACTTTACTGTGAGGAACAATAGGAAGAGGGCAAATTAATCTGACAAATGATATTAATCTCGCAATGGGACCTAAGGAATATTGAATGGAAAGTATCATTCCGTTTCCCTCCATCCTGCTTCCACTTCATTTCTACAGCTGTAACCTAGTTCCCTCTACTTCAATTTCAGGAGATAAGGAAGATGCAACAAATAGTATTTTTTCTTGCTTTGAAAAATATGTTTATCTCTTAGAATTTTCTGTTTTAAACGTATCACTGATAAGGTAATTATTTACCTCCATTGGCTTCTACTTTCCCATTCAGACCTTATCTAATTTTCATAATACCTTTTTGGACAGTTGAGAACCTTGGAAGGTTAGCTGAAAACTATGGAAGGAAGGAAGGAAGGAAGGAGGGAAGGAAGGAAGGAAGGAGGGAGGGAGGGAGGGAAGGACGGACATCACTCATAAGTGTTACGTGGGTACACCAAGGCCTGCATTTCTGCATTGTGATCCATAAACCTTCCAGATGGTCTTCAAGATAGAGACAGAGTCAGGCCATGAATGACTACAGTAGAAGGAACCGCCATTTGGCTGAGGGTTTTTTCCATCCATTAGCAGGAAAGGTTGCTGATTTAGATAGAGAACAGGAAGAGGAGGAAGGTGGGACAAATGACTGATGAGGAATCCCCTGGCCACCATATGACTCTTGTTCATGCTTTTTTTTTTTCCAAAAAAAACTGAATATATTATAGTCAATTTGGCCTTAGTCACTGTTACCTTTGGGGGTGGGATGGAAAGAATAACTCTCTGTATGCTTACAGTACCGTGGTTGGGATTTTAAAATCTGGTTGCTGTAAATCCCCAATACTGATAGTAAAGTTTTTTTTTTTTATAATGATGGTGACTTTAATATCCTTAAAGTTAACTTGGAACCTTCTTATGAACAATCCGGATCTAAATATTCAGAATAATACATTAATTGCAATGTTAATACTAATTTGTTACAGTGGTTAAGGTGTTTGCCACGGCTTGGACCTGAGTTTAAGCCCATTATCAGCTGGGGTAACTTACTGGGTGAGTCTGGGCCATTTTTTTCTCTATCCCTGTCACTTGTGCTCACATGAATGTGACACAAGAGTTCCTCACAAAGTTGGTTAAAACCCAAAAGGAGATGGATTCCGGCTTCTTTGCTTTCTAATTCTTACATCAATAGTATGGTGAGATGTCAAACTTCCATGTTCCAATTTCTATCTCCCCAAGCTAAGGGATCACAGCATTGCTCTGCATTGCTTTATCCGAATGATGTTGTATAGATAGTCCTTGTGGTATCACAAGGCGGAACAGGTGACCTGCCTCACTTTGAAGTAATGCATGCCACACATGCAGACTACTGGTTCAAGGAAAGCTCATTGTGAATACAGGTAGTCCTCGAGTTAAGACCACAACTGAGCCCTGTTGTTAAGTGAGACATTTATTAAGTGAGTTTTGTCTCATTTTATGACCTTTCTTGCCATAGTGTTTAAGTGAATCATTGCAATGGTTAAGCTAGTTACAGTTATAAAGCGAATCAGGCTTCCCCATTGACTTTGCTCTGAGAAGGTTGCAAAAAGCGATCACACGACCTTGGGACACAGCAACTGTCTTAAGTATGAACCAGTTGCCAAGCATCTGAATTTTGATCACATGATCATGAGGATGTTGCAAAGGTTGTAACTGCGAAAAACAGTCATAAGTCACTTTTTTCAGTGCCGCTGTAACTTTGAACGGTTACTAAACCATTGTAAGTCGAGGACTACCTGTACCGTGTGCCACTGTCACTGGACAAAGTTCTGCCTACACCATTCTTATTTATTTATTTTACTTCAAGGGGACAATTGGAACATAATCAGTTTAATGAAGTTCCGAAGGAAGGCTGGGAGGTACAACCAATAGCAAAATAAGCAAATAAACAAGAATGTTAATAGTCAAGGCAGATACTCGATACCTCGAACACATTTCGATGACTCACATACCACAAAACACCTTGCCATCTAGGATCCCTAAGCTTTAAAAACAGCATTATTCGGGCAAACGTTTGGTGCATAGGCTTAACCTGTGCTGCTTTGGTGGGTTATTAATTTTGTTTTGATCATATTTTTGTTTCCTGCCACTGTGTTTTTCTGCCCTTGTATTTTAAGTAAACGGAGACGTTGTGTGTGTGTGTGTTGTTGTGTGCAAGCAATGAAATAGATGGTCAATAAATTAAGATACGAAGTTAACTTCAAGACTGGAGGGAGACAAACAGGCTGCACGAAACGAGGCGAGGAAGGGGCTCTCGATTTCTCATCCCACCCACCCCTCCGTCGTTCGCTCCCCCCCTTTCCCGCTCCGCAGAGCACCGAGCTGAAACTCTAAAGCGGGGCCGTCGCTCTCCGGTTCTCCGATTTCCGGCTAACCGGCCAACCGTGCCCTTCCCGCCGCACGATGAGGCGGACCAGTCGCTCGGCCGGGGTTGCCTCAGCTCCCCCCGTCACGTGAGCAGAAGCCGCCGCTGCGGCCGTCGCAAGGCTGGCCTCCCACCAGGCGCAGTATGAGGAAGTCGGCCAGAGGCGCCCTCGTCCCGTCGCCGAGCGCGCTTGCACAGGCGGGAGGGAAGCGAGTCCCGGACGCGAGTTCAAAGCCGTCCGGGGAAAGCGCTCGGTTTTCTTCCCCAAGGGACTGAAGGGAGGGGATCCGGCTGTCCCTGTAGGCGGCTAGAGGCAAGCGGGGCGGGAGGGAGGGCGCACTCCGCCCGCCCGCAGCTCGGTTCGCCTAGAAGCCGTCTCGAACCTCGGTCACTCAAGGCGGGCAGGGGAAGGGCGGGGAAGAGGAAGGTCCAGCTTGATTGGAAACGCCTGAAGATCCGCGCACCCTGCTCCGTAAGAGGCTCGAGCGGGCTTCGTAGCCCGGTTTGGCCGGTAACACGCTTAAGCTTGCCCGGGCGCTTGCTTGCTTTAGCTTCCTTTTCGGGTTCCCCTTCCTCCTTTTCCCCCCCGTTGCTGCAGGGCAGGGAAAACTTGTCCTGCAGCCTTGGAAGAAAAAAAAAAAGGGGGGGGGGAATGTTGGGTTTTCGGCATTGCAAGCCGGAAAAAAAAGAGGCTGCGGCTACCGCTTGGCCAGGAATGCTTTCTGCCAGCTGTGCTAGGCAGATGTCGGGCGGCCCCCCCCCCTCCGGCGGCTTTCTCCGGGCGCCTCGGCAACTTCGAAAGACTCGGGTGTTTTTTTTTCTTTCGCGCGCGCAGGCGCTGCGGAATTTCAACGCAGCCCCGGCTCGATTGCGCGCCCGGCAGACCCGCCTCCGGATCTGCTTCTTTTCTTTTTTTCGTGCAGGTTGGGGGCGTTTTGGCAGCAGCAGCAGCAGCAGGAGGAGGAACGGCAGCCCGCCCGCCCGTAGCCGGCGAGCCAGGTCGCTGCGTGAGGAGGAGAAGGCGGCGGCGAGTAGAGGCCAGCGAGCCGAAGGGACCCGGGCCCTTCCAATGGAGGAAGAGGAGAAGATGGTGGCCGCCGTCGGCGAGGAATGGCAAGAGGTCGCGCAAAAGAGAAAGGCCTGGGCTAAAAGCCGGGACTCCTGGCAAGCGTCGGAAGCCGAGCGCCTGTCTCCAGAACCGGCGGCGGATCTGGCCGCAGAGCAGGAGTTGTGCGGCGCCAAGTTGCCCTTGACTGCGGAAGGAGGTCAGTCTCTTCGGCGAGGCGCTCGTTCCGCCCCCCAGGGGTAGCGACGTGCACGCACAAAAAAAGCAAAAAGAGTCTGGTGTGACACCTGAAAGGCTAACAGATTTTATACTCGGCGCTTCCCGCATTCTGATGCGCCGCTAAGTCGAGGACGGCGCTTCGGGCGGGCGATGACGTCCGCTGAAGTTTATAGCTCAGGAAATCAGCTAGCCTTTCACATGCCCAGCAGACTTTGCCTTGCCTCCTGTCGGGACAAATCCGGGACAGGCTGGGAGAATTTCTAGTTCCCACTTCGGTCGAAACTACCCTTGAAAAAGGGCTGCTCTACTTTTCTTTCTTTGGAGAAAGTAAGCTGTGCTGACCTCGGGGAGAAGGTTGCTTCCGGTAAACCTATTCCTGATTAGGCTGGATTATAAAATATATTTGTTAAGAATGCTCTGCACCGTATTGATCAATTACACTCACTGCACCGAACTGAATGAAAGGGGCCTCGCTCCCTGAGAGTATTGTATTTATATATGATTACACACGAGTGCATTTGTCTAACGCTTAATTGTACATTATTGCCCTTTTCTTGTTCCCGGAAAAATGCTGAATTATCTCAGCTCGGCTCTCCCCTTGTTCCCAAATGATGTGCATTGATTTGCATTGCAAGTCGCTTGGTTTAAGATTCTGGGAAGGCTTTTTTTTTTTATAAAAAAAATCACCTTGTTAGTCAACTAACTCTTTTCCTTGGATTTGTTTTGCTCTGCTGCCCCCCCCTCCCCTCTCCTGCAGGCGCTATTCCAAATGAAAAGATTGCAATATGGCTTAAAGATTGTAGGTAAGCATTTCTTGGGAAGTATTGTGCAATTATTAAATGTGCTTTTCTCGCCCCCCAGCTTTAAGTAGAGACTGCTTTTGATTCCCAGCAAGTGCCTGGGTGGAATACAACACTCCATTGTGATTAGAATGCTGTAGAAGCAGCTTTTTTGTGTGGTATTATGTGTATATATTTGTGTGTGTGAGAGAGTGAAAGAGAGAGGAGAAAATGAAAACTGCTTTGACAGTGTTATCGAAACTATATTGTTCAGTAAATAGCAGCTGTTTTCCAGGGTTTAAAGGTTGTGTTGTTTGTAAGGTTCCTAGCTCATTGTATATAGTCAAAAGTATTTTCTGGAAATATAATAATAGGAAAAAAGGAAATATTTTTGGTCACTTCTTTGCTTCTTCAGCTGGATTTTAAATTCGTAGAATTGCAGTCCTAAATACGTCTATCGGGAAGGAAGTTCTGTTGCAACCATTTGGGTTTTCATCTATGTGAGCAGGTTTTAAGTTAAGAGAACTTGTGTTTGTTCACTTCTAAGTAAACATATCTTAGATGACATAATCTGGTTTTTGTGTCAGGTGTTCAGAGGGTTTAATTCATATTCATAACAAAGTTTATTAGAATAATGATTGCAATATTACGATGTTGGAGCAGACTTTTCTCTAAAGAACAATTTAATGTAGTTGGTGCTGGATTTAAAATAGAAAGGTCCACATTAATCTTTCTGCAAACTGGTTAATCTTGGTTCTTACCTTAGCTTACAGAATTATCAAAAAGGTAAAAGGGGAAAGGCAGATATGCTGCCTGGTCAGGGTCATTAATGAAAATGTAAGTGTTTTTCTGCTATGTGTTTAAATTACACATAGCATTTTAGAAGCCCGTGTTTTTTTTTAAAGTAAACTTTTCATTTTTCTAATTACAGGGTTAACTTTCAAAAAACAAATGTGAGCAAATAAAATATAGTAGAAATGAATCAAAAATACAAAATAAAATGAATTTTAGTTGAAATCATTTGTAGGTTGGGGTTATTTTTATAGCATTAAAAAAGGAGAAAGACTATCACAAGTATGAAGCATGATTAGCATCTAATCATGCTTAATACTTGTGATAGTCTTTCTCCTTTTTCATTCTGCAATAACATTTAAACATAGATGTAGAAAACATTTCAGTTTACAGTGCAAAATGTAATTCTGCTTGAAAAACTAACAGAAGAATAGCACTTTCCCCCCTGATAAGTTATACACTTATACAGTTGTACAGTTATACAGTTATTTCTTCTGGGCTGGGGCTGGGGGTGAAGATTGCCATAGAGCAGCCATGCAAAATGATCAGGGCCAAGAGTAGAGCTATATGCTGCAGCTATTTTTCTCTGGGTTTTGGAGGCGGTTTGTGAGTAGCTTTTTTTTTAAAAAAAACTCTTCAACTTACTTTTGTGCCTTTGTGATAGTTTTGTTGCATAACTCGAAGGATATGCCATTATATTTTAGTCATTATAATCAGAGAGGACACTTGTTCCCCATTTGTTATAAGCAGTAAATTAATCGAAGTACATTAATAATGCATTTTATTATCAGTCAAGATCCAAAGGAAGAGTACAACTAATGCTGCTTTCCCATTCAAAAAGCAGTTTTCCATTTCAATATTGAAACTGAAGAAACTTTTAAAGTACTGATGTTTAGTAGCTCTTGTGACTTCTTGCTTAGGGGAAATTATTCTAACATTCTAAACGTTTTTTGGGATGAGCCTTAAGTAGTTTTGTGGGTAGTGGTTATTATTATGATTATTTACAATCTTCCAACCTTATGTTACCTTCTGCTGGAAGGGCAGAAGTTTACCTGGTGAGTATAACAGCAGTCCAGGGAATAGCCAGCAGGGATAGATAGCAACAATCTGCAGTTTAAGGCAGCCCACAATTCTGGAAAATTAAACCCAGCTTTTTTTGGCTTAAATATGAGTAAGGGATTTGAGGGCATGTGTAGCAGCACGATAGTGTCCTTCACAAAACATTTTCTGTATTTCCAACAATCCTTGATGGTTTTATTTAATACAGGCTGTTACAGCATTGTACTCAATAAATGCACCCACCTCTCTATTGTGACCATATTTGGAATCTCTGTTGAATGTAGCATGGAAGTTACTGCTTCCCTTGTCCCAAAATGGCTTGTGTGTAATAAAAGCAGTCTTATCTTTTTAGTTAAAAAGGATATTGTCTGCTATGGCCACTGGAAAAAGAGAGCTGTGTTTTTTCTTTTGTTTTTCTTTCTGGAAGAAACTTATTTCCCTAATATTAACTGAGACAAGGGTGCTGTGTTATCAGGTTCAAGAAAAACATAATGAAACTCCTAAGGACTTTGCAGAGAAATAATCTAGAAACCTTGAAAAACTTGAAAATCAACTGCTTTTATTTTATTTTTTTTCATTTTCAGGACTGGATAATCTTGTTTTTGTAAAATTCCTATACTGTTATGTGGTAACTGATATGAACAATATTTCAGTTTTGTCTTTATCCGGAGCTTTTATATATGTGTTGTAATCTTTATACTATATTTTGTCCCTTTTGATGTCTTGCTATTTATATTTATACAATATGAATATAATTATTCATATGAGTGACTGAACTAATCATATGCAATATGGTTATTTCAGTCACTCATGAAAACAGAAATTCATATACAGTCTACAAAGACATCTAAGTATGAAATATACCACTTCCTCATTCAAATCCTAATATGGAAAATTCCAGTTTATTTGACAGGAAGACTTCTGATTTAATTTCAGCAATTAATGTGGGCATTTAAGATGAAAAATTGTCCTGCCAAATTAGCTTTATTAATGATCTGTGAATCTTACCTAATGTGAATGATCTGTGAGGAGGTGATACAGCTTTGATGAAGCTTCCAAGAGATTCAGTTTCTTAAATATAAGGCCACTAGGAATCCCATTTAAGATCAGGCATTAACTGTCATTCATATGTTTTTAAAAGCTTTCTTAGTAAACGGAACTAAAACTACTTTTTCTGATTCTAATGTGGTGTAAACCACCCTCGGAAAACCAGATCTTGATAGGTTACATACACATTTGTAAATAATCAGATAATCAATAATCAGGAGTTGGTAACAGTTGCTTTGATAAAGATCTTATATTTTTCTTTTAGGATGCTATTTAACTGTATAGTCTCAAACTTGACTATGATTCATACTGAGGAATCTGGAATTAAAAAGGCTTAAGGGTTTGTGTTGGACTGACAGCTTGGCATTTAAATCCAGGATATCCCACTAATTGTAAACTGTAGTATTATCCAGAAATGTAATGAGAAAGAGAAGGAGGAACATTGCATTTTACTTTCTGATGACTTGCTGGCTCATTTGAATGATCATTCACTGTTTATTTTTACAGAGTGAAAGACTTGTTAGATGAGTAGACTCATCTTCTATATGGTCATGTTATGTAAATGATAAGTTTTTTTTCTAGAGAAAACTTGTTCTCCAGGCATTTTTCTTATTATACACAGACTTTTTGTACAGAATCTCTTTTGTTTTTTAAGGACTTCCTGAAGCATCTTTAAATTAACAAGGTGCATGGAAAGAGGCACATTTTCAAAGGTCAGTTCTTGGAGCTTAGAGCTTTTTATGTGCTAGATCAAGTACTCCTGAATCTGTCAATCTAATTCAGTGTGGAATAACTTTCTTCTGCCAGTCTTTCCCAGCTTGGTTTTCTCCAGAGACCTTGTGTGACGAGGTGGACATTACTTCTGCTTGTTTCAGGATGATGGGAGATTATAGATGGAGAAATTGCTTAAATGGAAGTTCTAAACACATGAAATTCCAGTAGTATAAAGGAGCATCATGCTTTGGGAAATTGCTCTATAAAAAACTTTAAATGACTAATTGGAATAGTGTAAGACATTTGAATATTGGTGCTGAAGAAGATTGTGTAATCCAGAAGATGGAAGCTTTGGTTTCATGTGCCTGGTGACAATCAGGAAAGTTCATTTTATTGTCCTGACCAATCAGATATACTGCACTCATCAATTCTTGAGAGGGTGGTCTCCATATTAAATACTTATGCACACAGCATATTTATTAAAATGAAATTGCAACAAAAATCCTCTAGATTTCTCTATATTTCTGGTGTAGCTTGGAACTGGTTTGGTCTTAATGGCCTTGAAACCAGGAGACTATGAGTTCTAGTCCCATCTTAGACATGAAAGCCAGCGGTGTGATCTTAGATCAGTCCCTCTCTCAGCCCAACCCCACTTCATAGGGTGATTGTAGTGGGAAAAATAGGAGGAGGAAAGAGTAATAAAGGCTGGATATAAGAAAAATCTTTAAAAAAAAGTATTTAGGTTTGTTTCATTCTGATACATTCCATACATATTAGTTTCTTTACAGCAAGGAAGCCCAAAGACATTTGTGGCCCTTAAAAATCTAATGAATTTATAATACAATCCTGCACATTTTCTCTATATTGTAAATCTCATTCTACCAGTGTTATTAACTCCTTGCTATACAGGTAATCCTCAACTTATGACCACAATTGAATGCAACATTTCTGTTGTTGGTGAGACATATGTTGTAAATTTTGCCCCATTTTACGACCTTTCTTGCCACAGTTGTTAAGTGAATCACTGCAGTTATTAAATTAGTGACATGGCTGTTAAGTAAATACGGCTTCCCCAATGACTCTGCTTGTCAGAAGTTCACAAAAGGTGATCATATGACCTTGGGACATTGCAGTTGTCATAAAAATGAGCCAAATTACCAAGCTCCTGAATTTTGATCATGTGACCATGGGGATGCGGCAATGGTCATAAGTATGAAAAACGGTCATTTTTCAGTGCCATTGTAACTTTGAACAATCACTAAATGAACTTGTAAGTCGAGGACTACTTGTATGTTTTTAGTACCGTAGCTCTAAATAGTTTGTGAGTCTGCATTTGTTCAACTAAAGTGTGTGCTATAGTCCATGTTTGGTGCTTCAGATAGACAACAGCCATCACTATTCATCAAAAAGCA